ATAGTCTTATATGGTGGATTATACTGTGGGTGGTCAGTACACAAAACACACATAAGCCCCTGGCAATGGACAACCAATGTGACAAAAGAGTGTCCAATCAAATAATCACTGATTGGGAAACACATTTTCCTTCTTTTTGAACGTTTCTTACCACTTGAATTCTTGCCACAAATGAGGTGCTGGTAGTGCTGCAGCAGACCCCAGATCTCCGAGTCGTTGTTGATGGCTTGCTCCAGAGACTCCAGCGTAAACTTGGGGATCCCGTTGTCCCTCTCCACCAGCGCGCTGCGCAGGACGCGGCTGAACACCTCTCTGAACAGACTCTCCATGCAGGCGGTGAGGTATATGGCAGCGTGTTCGTGGATCCTGAGGGCCACCCGACTATCCACCATCCACCTGAAGAACTTCCCCACGGAGAAGACCAGCCCGCAGCGCTCCGACTTGCCTCGGCTGAACTTGTCCCCGGTGCTCATGTTGTACAGGGACAGGGCGCTGAGAGCCGCCGTGATGCAGTTGACGGAGATGGTCCATGAGAGCACCACCTTGATGGCGCTCTGGAGCTCATGCTTGGTGCACTTGGCGTAGCGCAGGCTGAGCCGCTGCGCCTCCCGGGCCACCCGCACCAGTGCGCGGCTGATGAGAGCCGACAGCCGCGCCAAGACCTCCGGTGGCGGGTTTCCCACCATCAGCTCCTCGTCTTTCCTCAGTGCGCCCTCCACCTCGCCGAGGCTCCATGGCACGTCCTCCAGCTCGGGCAGCTTGGCGCACTGACCCGAGCACTCCAGTATCTCCGTGTCCTCCGCCAGGACGGTGTTGACTGTGTCCAAACTGTTTTGTCGGCTGTGCATGGATTCGGTCAGATGCCAGCAGTTGCCCCCATGCGAGACGGACTGATGCGTGTCGGAGCAGCACAGCGACACGCTGGACGACCTGACCGAGTCCGCGGCTCCACCATAACCAGAATCAAGCGTTAAATCCTCCAGCGTCCTCACGACTGTCTTACCCTTGCCTGCCATAACTGCACCGCATACTGTTGGGTATGCTTGGTCTCTCAATTAAATGCCACAAACTCGTTTTCTTGCTCTCTTTTTTTTTTCCTCAGCCGCTGTCCGAGGGCTTAATTGTATTCCGCAGATTAAAGAGTGAAACGTGAAGAAGTGAGCCTCTACTTTCCTGTGTCTCCAAGTGTCTGGATGTGTCAGATATCCTCCTGTCCACAACTTCATACGCGTAACCCGAGAGCGCACAAACCCTCCGCGCTCACTGCAACAAGCGCAGCGCAGGCAGGGCTCCGATGGAGAGGTGGAGCCTGGAGCCCCGCGGGCAGAAACAAGCCAATCCGCGTCTCCATCAGCTGTGACTGACACGTACAACCTGCCTGCTACCTTTCAGCAGAGGCCATACCTGGTGCTGGTGATACATAGCTGCAGAATCAGAAGACACCCACGTAAACTGCCGTAGCCAACCAATCTGTTATTTGTCGTCTTGAAGCTGCAGTGTCGTGTAGCTGGATCCCCACTGGGAAAACACATGGTGGAAATGCTCTGTGGATAGTGTGTGTGTGTGTGTGTGTGTGTCTGTGTGTGTGGGGGGGTATGGACCAATGGCGTGAAACAACAGAGAGGATAAAAACAAACATATCCAACCTTTTTTTATTGTAACTTCACCACATAAAATACAGTGTCAGAGAGAGTAAATGGTTGGGAGGGGGCACAGACAGGAACAGTGCCTTTTTGTTAATATACCTCATTTGTTCTCAGTAACTAGAGGTCATGCAGTTGTTTACTCTGCTTTTATTTATAGCAGCATAGTCCTATAGCAGCTCTGCAGGAGAAGGAAAGGTGCACTTCTTGTGCCATTTATTTCCACAAATAGACATTTTAACCACAATATTGTCAGGTGCCTTTTTTAAATTCATTGTCCTTCTTGAATCAACATTTTCTACCATTGTGTTCAGCTAACAATATCCTGTTTGACCTAATTGTTATTATTGGAATCTGGACCAAAAACAAGATTTCTGAATGAACCTCTGTTATGAAAAAGAACGTTTTTGTTTTGTTTTTTATGAATGGCAAGGTCCTGCAGTTTTTGGCCTTTTATCTTCCACTAGTGATCATTTTAAGTAATAAGTGAAAGTGAGTCTGCAGCAAAGGAACACCTCAAGCTTTAATGCCAGATCCCTATAAATATTTTACAGATTAAAGCACATCAAGCTTTTTGAGGTCAGAGACACCTCATCCAGCAACATCCGGTGACAAAAAGAGGCCTCCTTCAAAGGTTTACTGTCACTTCATCATGATGTTGTTGATTTATTTCCCAAAATACACAATTTTTTTGTCAAACAAAGAGCGAGTGAGTCGAATCCTGAAGACGTGCTGAGAGGAACAGTTGGTGGAATGATGATTCATCCATTCTGCTGGGGCTTCTCCTTGTACATCTGAGCTGGACCGACCATCTGTCCACACTGCCTGCCGTTGCCAGAGGCCCTTTCATAGTTTCTTAGCATGACACTGCACTAGCCAATGCCAGAGCTGGAAAAAACTTACTACACTGGAATGTTTTTTGAGCAATGATGTGACGCCCACTCTCTTGCAGAGTGACTGACAGGGAGAGGTGTAAAACAAAATCACGCCTGTGTCTTAGTGTCATTGTTTGGCTGACAAATGCAACAATAGCATCACCACACTGCAGGATGTATCTGGGTTGATTTATTTATGCCAAGACCCTCTACATGGAGACACACTGGGCCTCTGAAGGAAACTGGATGAAACTTTTCTTTTGGGTAAGAAAAACTTGTTTGGGAAGATTTTTTGTTTACTGATTGTTGAATTATTTAACTGTCAACAGAGGGAGATTCTGATTTCTCCATAGAGAAAATAGCTGATTAAACTCCTACATATAAAGAGTTTTTATATGTAACCAGGTGTCTGTGACATTAGCCAAGTTCATCTTCCAGCAGTCTTGCCACGAGCTCTTGATGCAATGCAGCATATCTTGCTGACTAACTAAGGTGAGAGCGGTGGAGGTGGGCAGCTGTCAGCTGCTTCTCTACACGCACCGTGGTCCTCCAAAGCTTGTCCTCGCGTATTAAGCGTTGGTTGCCTGGTAACAGCAAAATGATCATGGTTTTCCCAGCAAGATGATAGATTGTTAGTATTTTGCCAGCAGAGTGAGTGCATCATATAAACACGCTTCTTTAGTCATGCTGTACAGTCACGTTTTTTAATTGGCAGTTCATTGAATCTTGTGGGTTTTTCAGACTTTATGTAAAGTGCATTGTGTGATTATGTTTCCAGTATATTGCTTTACGCTGTGTTACGCTTGTTTTGCTTGTTTTAAAATTGCATATATGTATTTTGTGCTTAAATGACTGTACATTTGGCACTTTTTAACTATGACTTATATTGAATTTTTGTATAATGTATTGTTATACTATTATGCAACAACAATAATGATGAAAAATAATAGGTTTATTACCTTAACACCATGCGTTTGTGGGAAATATTGGCCAATAAAGTGTAAAAAACATAAGAAAAAAAGTGCAGCCTCCACTATTTGATCATATATGGATGAATTACATCAAGTTATCGTCAGATATAGAAGAGGATGTTAGTGGCATGATGTTATACTGACACTCAGTGGTCACAGTAAAGTACTACTTCTTCTGTCCTTGGCTGTGTTTTCTATCTTGCATAATTACACACCATTTTATGTAAGAGAATATTGTGACGCATTTCTTATTTAGACATTAAAAAAACACCAAATATAGAGAAAATAAGATTACGTGGTCCGACTACTTCTAATAATACTGATGATAATAATACATTTGAAATATATTCGTGCAACTTATAAACACATAAATAGTAATATTATGACATCTTGGCTCAAAAAGTAAAGTAAGGCTTATTTGTGAAACACATTTTAACAACAAAGCAATTCAAAGCTTTACACGGGACACAAGGCAGAAAATAAAGTGATAAACACATTTGTTTTTGTTTATATAATAAACTGAAAACAGGAAGTTACAGAGCAGTTGCAGAGTAGTGCAAGATATGAACGAATGGTTCCGATTTTATTTGAATTAAGGGCAGTGGAGCCTCGATTCCAACAACACGTCAAAGCAAGCGTGAGATGTGGCTAAACTTTGCAGATTAAAGCTATAATTTGCACTTTAATTATAACCCAGCCCGCCTGAATACCCAGTAAAGCTCCTCTACAGTGTTTTAAGGTGCTGCTGCTTCAGGCAAGTGTTTTTTAAAGCCTTTATTAAACTGCACAATTGATTTCTAATATGAAGTGCGTCAGTACTACAGTGACACACACACACACACACACACACACGCACGTTGACGCGTGAGGTCAGTGCGCTCATGCCAGACTTCATGTGCTCATCCGGGTTCTTTAATGGTAAACAAGCCAGTGGGCTCTAAAGGCAGCCGGATGCATGGATATGTTTAAAGCATTGCATATTTTTAACACTAATAATATGTTTTCCAAGTCTATGTGCACATCTTTTTTTAATAACTAACTTCTTTTTAAACTTAAAACTAAACCAAAATATAAAAGAGTAGTAGAGTAGTGTTTTTTTTACTTATATATGTCTTTATTTAACTATAAGCAGTCAGTAACATTACCACATGTTCACCGTGCACGTTTATCTTTTTTTTAATAACTAACTTCTTTCTAAACTTGAAACTAAACCAA